TTCCATATCTGTGTTGTTTCACAAATATATAATTCTTGTGAAATGTGAAAAGGAAAGAAGCAATTTCATCGAGTCCTCTTTCAGAACGATCGCTCCATGTGGTGGTGGACAGAATATCGTCTGATACCATTGCCATCATCTCCAGAAGGATCAATTTTGGCACCAAAATTGTTTCAACTCCAAATCAACAATCTATTGGGAGCAACCACTTGCCCTATGCACAACTTTGCAGGAGAAAAGACTCTCCATATGTTGCGTTTTCTTCTAGAATTCTCATGTCTTTCTAGGAAACCAATAACTAACAACGACAGCAGGCCAAAGCTGTCGATGCAGATTTTGCGGAAATTTCAGCCTGGGGTAACAAGAACTTAGTTGAATACAACGCCACCAAAACTGAAACATATATTATCCTCTGAAGGGCGAAACTCAGTATGCCTGATATAACAATATCTGGTTCCTCCAATACCACCAAAATCTTTGCTTGGTATCACCATCAGCAATACTCTCCGCAGAAGCTGCCTCAAAACAACTAGGATTCTCATTTCGTGCGAAAATCGACTTCACTCCTCAACAGCTTGATCTACACTGAGAGAAACTGAATATTAAAAATATCTTCCAGCTCTGATTGTAATAACCATTATGAAAATATCTCCTATTCCTGATCATTTTATGATCACAACAGTATTCTCTCCATTCTGTAACTATACAAAACGCTTTCTTAAACCGTTTGTAATATTCTTGAATAGACATCGAAGTACATGGAGTTATAATAGACTCCAAGCTCACTTGGAATGAGCACATTGCAAACCGCACTAAGAAGGCTGTATGCTGCTTCTGGGCATGCAGACGAGCCTTTGGAAAAACATGGGGTCTCACACCCAAGACCCTTCACTGGATATACACGGCAGTAATACGCCCAACACTTACGTACGGGTCCATTGTATGGTGGACCAGTACCAATAAGGACAAGACCAACAGAGAACTGGATAAAGTCCAGCGACTGGCCTGCCTGGGAATAACAGGTGCTTTGAGAACGACGCCTACCAGAGCCTACCTTGAAGTTCTGTTAGGTCTGCCGCCTCTACACCTGTTCATACAATACGAAGCCATGAGAACTGCTTACCGACTCAACGGTGCAAACCAGTGGGTCGGAACAGAAGCAGATCATGGACACTCCCTCATATGGAATAAGGCAAAGGAAAACTGTCCCATCCTCATGATGAGAAGGGATAATACCTTGCCAATTCTGAATTTCAACAAAGCCCCAAACACTGTCATCCCTACGAGGGGAGAATGGAATGACACAACACCTAGCGTGCCCCCTCCTAATGAGTCAATCTGGTACACGGATGGCTCAAGATTTGGGGGCGGTTCAGGTGCAGGGGTATACAATGAAGAAACAGGTACAGAAATTTCAGTTCCTTTGGGCGAATATGCCTCAGTGTTCCAGGCAGAAGTACTTGCAATACTCACTTGCGTCCAAGAAAACCTAATTATGAGAGGTCGTAGACCAATCACTATATGCTCGGACAGCAAATCTGCAATACTGGCTTTGAAATCCAATAGGATCACATCCAAATTGGTGTCCGAGTGCAGAAAAGCCTCGGAAAACCTGGCAAAATCAAGAAAAATCAGCCTCATGTGGGTCCCGGGACATTCGGGAATACCCGGAAACGAGGGGGCAGACAGACTGGCAAAGATCGGTTCCATGCGGACCTCGGTCGGACCAGAACCAATCTTGGGAATACCAAATAGCCTGGCAATGTCCTCTATAGAGGAACAGCTGCAAAAGCATTTCCTCAAAATATGGCAGGACACACCAGGAATGAGACAATCGAAGCTCCACATAAAGGAACCTTCGAAGAGGCTCGCAAAAGAGGTTTTATTCCTAAACAGGCGAAACCTGAAAATGGTAGTGGGGCTCCTAACGGGGCACAACCACCTCAATAGGCACCTAGAGCTTATTGGGATCAAGGATGACTCCCTTTGCAGATGGTGCCTGGAAGATGACGAAACGTCATCACATGTCCTCACTGAGTGTCCAGCACTGACGCACCAGAGGAGGTCTGTCCTTGGCCACATAATTTTGAGGCCAGAGGACGTAAAAGAGATTCAGCTGAGGAAGCTGCTGAACTTTTCCGAGGCAGTCGGCATACCCAGCTGAATGTCGTAACATGTGGGCGCACAATGGGCCCGAATAAGGAGGCCCACGTGCAGGGGGTTCGCCCGCCCAACAGTGCTTCGAAGAAGAAGTAGAAGAAGACATTTGCTACCATCATAACGCGAGTGAGTTATGACATTATGAGAATTTTATAAATTCTAGTCTCTTTAGATTTTTCATTGACAAAGCTCGTTTCGTGAATCATGCTCAATGGTGAAATCAGATAATGTTTGTCCCAATAATCATAGCTGTTTGGGTTTCTAGCATTGAACGTTGACGAGTAACTATAGCTATTCACTTGTATGACGGTTATCAGACAATCGACAATCGTAATTCGGCTCATTTCTCTCTAGTTCTCCATTAGGTTCAGGGGTTACAAAGCTACAGATCGCGTTCATTTCAACTTCTGTTCTCAGTCATGGGTGCCCGTGTTCAATTATAGTTCAATGGTTTCAATCGTTCGAATCGATAGAGCCGTTACCATCGAGACAACGATGGTAACGATAGAGCCGTGTCTTGTGGGTGAATGTGTGTGATGTAGCAAAATTTTGTTTTTGTGCTGGCTGTGAGCCGAGGTGTGAAATACACCGTGCATTTCATTACTGCAATGAAAAAAATATTCTCCATGCTTACTTTTCATGGCCTAAAATGGTTTATTCTGAAAAACAAAATGATCGATGAGATTATCATCATAACTCCGAAGGAAGAGTAAATATAAGCATTCAACTTCTCATTTCCTAATAAGTTCGTCAGTATGCATATAGATGATATTTCTCCGAGAAAATCTATGAGTAATGTCAAAAAAACTTCCATAGAATCCTAGATATTTCAATTCAGAGACATATCGTATTTTTGGTTTTTGAAAAAAAAATAACTTTGGATCATGAAAAGTTAGTGCGGATAGGATGATTATTTTCATTGCAGTGATTCAAAGCACGGTTCCATAATGCATACCATCGAACAATGTTGATCAGATAACCTAATTACCACTGTTTGATGAATATAGTAGAGTAGAAAAATATTGGGATAACTGTTGAAAATGAGCTATATTACAATAGCATGTTGAAATGTCAGGTTTAATTCAGATTTAGATAACTAATGAAATGAGACGAATTACTGCGTTACCTCAAGATGGTTGTGCCAGTAGTGAAAACAGGCTGTTTTATGACGATAGTCGAATGTCCACTGTAGAGTTGATTAGTTACTGCAAGATTTATTTAGGAATAATTTCTATTCGACACTCTGTGTTATCATAGAAACAAGAACAAGTGGTAGTTATTCAGCAGCTGTGTTTATACAAGATTGCGAATTGAATATGCTGCCATAACTACACGCCACCTGAAAATTCACTTAATCTATGTTATCAAATGAACACATCTGTCCTCTACTTATTGCAGATATCGTAATAACGGTTATCAGATCTCCCAATTATGATAACTCAAGTTTTCTCTCAGTGTACAAAGCACAGATAAGGCAATTCTAGAATAATAATCTTAGATTTCATCCAGAGGAGAGCCATTTTCCTGGTTGGTCATGCCACACTCACTAACTATTTGATTCCATCCGAACATCGTAGAAGAGTCGACGACCTTTCACTCGTCTATTGATACTTCCACGAGAAATGTATCTCAGAAATCTCTGCTTTAATTGCATTACTAGCAATACCAGTCAAACAAACTCGACAGGCCCAGTGGGCACATCTGTTCGTCGTTAACCTTGAAAAATATGGAACAACACTTTACCAAAACTCGTTCGCCTTTAGAACGGCTACACTGTTTTACCACTAACCAAACCGATTTCTTAACGCCTCGACCCGTGTTCCGGTAACTATGTTAGCAACAACAAGCGTTAAAAAATCGGTTTGGTTGAGGTAAAACAGTGTAGTGTGTTATCAAGATACTAGATATTATGTGTAATCTGAAGTATAGTTACATTATCACGAATCCCTTGTACTGATTTAGTTTATTTGATGAGGAGAATGAAACTCTCCTTGAGCTCGTTTCAGTTCTGAGAAACCTCCGTCAACTTTGCTATGCGCCTCAATATATATTTAGTGAATTTCCCAATGAAAAAGCTGCATTGAATATAGAAAAAGTATGCCATTCAAAATTTCTGATATGGTAACAGATACTTAATTCTCAACCCCTCTCCCGATGCAAGTGGTGAAGCGCGCGTCGGCAATTGCCACGACGCTTGGCGTCCCCAAGTATTTAATAGCGCTTGGAACCCCATGCGCTATCATTTTAATCCTGTCTGTCTTCGCCAATCTGTTATTATTCGAATCGGAATTACCATGATTCAAAAGACTGCTCTTTATAATTTCAGTCTATTGGTGATTATACAACATTGTCTGGTGAGGTGCTTTCAGCATATGTAATACAGAGGATTAACTTGATACCTACATACCGTAATCTAGTTCGTTGGGCTTAGTGATTTTGAATGTGGAATGCATTGGTGAGGCATCGGTATTTTTTCATACAATCTACCTGGTAATTGCCAGACAGGTCGTCATGCTAACATAAAGACCGCCTCTCTATGACCGGAGCCAGCCCACAGAGCTATACACGCCGCGCTGCTATTGGCTCCCGCTGCGACCACGTGATCAGCCGTCATCCTCCTCAATAAGAAAGAAACAAAAACAACCATCACTAACAGTTACTACGGACGGGTACGTAACAATCGTTTCCTATTTCTCGTGGAGGGTTGCTTGCGATTCGCGTTTTTTCCTGTGAGATTTTCCGCGAAATTTGCGTGCATTTTAATGGCATAGTGACCGTATTGACTCCATTATCAGTGAATCAGTGATGATAAGTGAAGAAGGAACTTGTTGTTCGAGCCAATGAGATTGAAACACCAAGTCCGGATGCAGACGGGACACTTAGATGAAGACGAGTTCGTAGCTACAAAGACGAGATCCAATACACCAGAAGGAGTTGCGGCTGGCGGTAGCGGAGCTAGTACATTCTGGTTATCCGCTGTGTCAGCCGCAGCACAACCTCTTGAAGGTTGCAATGAGACCGGATTCATCAGCAGTCAACCATCGATGGCAGAATTCATGACAGCATTGCCTCATATATCTGGCGAGGTTCCTCATGGACCACAAATGAGCCCTCAAACTCCACCTACTACTGGATTCCCTATGGATATTCCGCATGGAATAGGATCACCTGGTGTCAATGTGCCAGAATATCCTTGGATGAAAGAAAAGAAGACCACACGGAAGAATAGTCAACAAGGTAATTAAATGCACGAAAATTGAACTTATATATACCTATATCATTTGAAAGATTGATTTCTAAGAATCTAAAGTAATTTTTAACATAATATTCTTGAATAACATATTTGGCAAGATTCTTGATGTACTATATTCTGCATCGATCGTGAAGAATGAACAGAAGACGCGTATCCCTTAGAAAAGCGCACTCCTATTCTGAGGACTCGCAAATACTTGCTTATATATTCGTAGACCTACTTACGCCTTTGATCAACATATATTATTTCTACTGAATCGAAGTTTTTGAATCAGATGAGCCTATAGCATGTACGGAATTTCGAAGAATATGAGTCTCAGCAAAATAATCAAAATACTTGCCTTGACTATCATTACAAACGTTTCATCGAGCGTTTCCTACACTATTTATGTGATTGAAGTGAACGATGAAATCAGTAGATCTGTCAACTGATCCAACGACGCATGACGGTAGTGAATATGTCTCAACAATTCCAGCAAAATGTTGATATTCGCCTTCTTTGTCAGACAAACTAATACAAAATGTTGACTAGCATTATCTAGATGTGCATCGGGTATTGTCCGCGGAAGCCTGGCCCGTAGGCGTCTCCCCAAGAACCCATGACGTGCGCAAAACCAACGAATTCCTCTGATCCGAGCTCTGATCTCACCAAATATGTACGAAATACTCATTTGCTAACGTTCGCAAACTGATTTTTCAGGAAAACTTGCGTGAATGTTTTGGTAGTTCAAATACTGTTGATGGAGACATAACTCGCTGATGACGAATTTCCGAATAATTCTTGATTTTTTTATGAAATATTTATGTAAGTTGTTTGGATAACGTTGTGTGATTGTCCTGCTCTGAAAAATATGAAAAATAGACTACTCAATCACGGTTACGTGACTTTCGCTACATGTCAAATTAATCGCTGAAAATGGGCTTTTTTGTTCAAATTCTGAAAAATTACACGACAAAAAGTGGTTTCCATTCAAATTTCACACACGTGTCTCGAATTCGAACGCTTTATAACAACTTTTAGATCTCTTTTTCAATTCCTACGATATATCTGCGATATTAAAAAAATCAACACCGACTAAACTAAATAATTCTATATATCAGCTTCATCATGCTACATATTTTCAATCACTAAATATTGACAGAGATTTGATTTCATTCAGAAAATAATAGTCCCTGCATAAAATTATTGTTATGATTGTTGCGACGTTCATGTATCAATCATTCAGAAGCGAAAATCATTCAAGATGATTTTTTCAGTACTGAAATGATGCCAAAGTCATCTATCAAAATATTATCAAACAACTTCACGTATCTTAATAAAGAAAAGGACAGTTTTCTTGAAGTCACAATTAGGAGAATTTTAAAAATATCAATAAATAAATGTTGCAAACTCGAAACACATAATAATATGGATGATTGAAATAAAAACGACCCTTCTTGGTATATTAGTTCCATTTTCAGCTGCTAATTCGAAAAATGTAGCGAAAGTCACGTGAGTTCTACCGGGTAGGCCATTTTTCCCCTTTTTGGAAGCTACACTCAACGCTCAAGACAAATTTCATAATGAATTATAATTGAGAGTTCCTTCCGTATTATGCTAATTTTAGGGATGACACGGTATAGACTGTTCTGTTCGGAAAAAATATAGCGGACGTCATAACCCAAAAGTAGATCACGCAGTATATTCAATTTTCCGCAATGAATGTAGAGAGTTCAAAACAAAAATCGGCATGTTTCAGAAAATTTCCCATAATGGACAGTTTGCCTGGATATGAATTTATCCACTACTTTACGATGACACTGAATTGAATTTTACAGACACACTATGTGGCCTAGAAATGAATTTATTGAGTACGAAAGCACTGTATTTAGTTTTGCTGCCACTAGGTAGGCCTATCAACTAATGTCATCATTAACCGATACGAAAAATTCGATGTTTCGTTGTTGAATGAGATAATATTTTCTTTTCTGATAATGTATCAAACTGAAGCTAAAAGTATGCAATCTATTTATTTATGAAGCAAGACTTGATTACCATTGAAAATCAACAAATTATAGCAATCACAATACCTCTCTACGATACGAACAAATTTCTAAACTTCGTTGCATCTTTTTGAGCGCACGAATGTAGATCCCTATTGTGTTCTCAGAACATCGTGCGCACCTGCATATAGGATAGGAATATAAAGAAGAGAATGGAAAGATATGAAGGAATTGAAATCTCCTGAACTTTTCGAGGTATTATTACTATTATAAGATTTAAGAACATTGAACAATATAAATTTAAATAAATCGATAAAACGATCAAGATTATGTATTACCCATTTTTATCCTACAATGTTTCGATGAAACATTCGCGTAAGCCGTTCTTTGCTTCATCATCCTGTCCAGTTTTTTTGAGACTCCTCTCGACATGGATTCGATGGTGGGAGAACCTTCGTTCGAACTTGCCTTGGAAGACATCCTGATACTTTTTTGAGCCTTGACAGTCTGATCGAGGAATTTCTCGTACACTTCGTGGGAAATAACGAGAAAATGGAGGAATTTCCGAAATTTCGACGAATTTCTGGGAATTCAGAGGAATTTCGGGGGATTTAAGGGAATTTCCAGGAAATGACGGAATTTCGAGGCATTTCAGAGAAATTGGGGCAGTGGGCAAGACGCCCTAATCGCTGGTTCGCTGTCTAGTCTAGTATGGTAGGCGAATGAATTGTTTGGTTGAAGGCGGGAGTCATGATATCAATCCTGTCCGCTTATCGGATTCCTCAGAAGTAGTTCTGTTTTCGCTTCAAAGTGTATGAGTCCCGTTCTACTTAACCCCGTACAAGTTTTGATTTTGAAGAGGTAAACAATCAGTTCCCTCCAAAATCCCATCCCGTGGTTGCGGGGCTGTGTACTCTGAACTAAAATCGTTCTAGAATTGTTCTATTTGTCATTCGGTTGCCCCCTTACGAGACACACTCAGAAGCGAGCTCAGAAGTCTGCGAGAGTCTTGTGCGAGCAAGGAATGGTAGGGGTCTTACCTTTTAACGTGTAATCCGAAACACTTTCTTGGGCCATCAGAAAAATGTCTGCAGTCGCTGGAAATTGAACCCACGACCAAGAAGCGAATGCGGATTAGAATAATGACACTCTGTCCGCACGGCTAACTGGCCCCCTGCGGGGCTTTGTACAACAGATATGACAAAAATTCTAACTAGGTATTGGTGAATTCAAGAGGGCGAAAATCCAATACGCCGGTCGAGTTTTGTATTTAGTTCTAATTTGTATCTTAGTCAGGGATCATGATTTTTTCAACAAAATTCAAGATTACGGATACAATATGGTACGAGTTTTGTGATTATAAGATCCGATTTTATTAAAAATTAGTATCTGGGGGTTTTCGGGGTCAATGATTCTTTCGTCAAACTTGGGAACTTGCAAAAACACTACTAGAAAATGCTCGAGAAAATGAGTAGTAGAATAATATTGGGCAGGTAGTCGCGCGGACGAAGCGTCAATATTCTAATCCGCGACCGCTTGCCGGTCGTTGGTTCAATTCAATATCAGCGGTGAAGCCCAATTTCGCTCCTTCAGGTGTATCCACAAAGGGCAGTCGATAGTTGGTCGTTGGGAAACATTAATTCAGATTCTCTGCTTTATTTGGAACATTTTGGACATTTTTTTCGAAAACTATGGATCTCGAGATGAATGCAAAATATAATGTACTCGTGAGAAAACTTTATTTTTCAATCACACTCTATTTGACTTTTCTTAATAATTGAATAGGAGACTTAGAATGATCAAAAGCTTTCTTAAGATGTGTTAATGAAACTCAGTGGCAGAACTAGAAAAACACAAAAAATATAGGTATAAACATATCACCCCACTTGTATATAGGGCTTCAACGCATATTTATGTTTATATGAGATTCTTATCGTAAAATAGTATTATCTTCAACTTGTAGAAGTCCTGCTACAAAAAACTGACTCACCCTTTATATTATCTATACCGACATAATATTATGGTATCGAAAAAATTGAATTGAATTTTACAAATCAAATTTCCTCTCGAACTATCAAATTCTTCAAAACTCAAAACAGATTCTTTAATAATTTTCAAAATATACCTATGAAACGGTAATGGATGATATTACATCATTAAGAAATTCATTTATTTGAGTGCGCCTTTGACCTCTGATTCTGATCGTCTTTTCGAATGGAAGGAAACAACAGGGAAAGGGAGGAATCTCGGGCAAATGCAAAGACTTAGAGGAATGTTCATGAAATAAATTGTATATGAAGAAAATGCATGGGAAATAGAGGCAGTTTGGGGAAATGCGAGGAATTAAGAAGGAAATAAAGGAAATGGATGTGAATCAAAGGAATTCAGAGGAATTGTTAGGAATTATAGGAATTTTCGGGAAATGAATAGGAAATGAAAGAAATGAAGGAAATAAACAGAGAAAAAGAATTTTTTGTACACCGTTCAGGCTGTGGCCAACCCCTCGAGTCTGATGGTTTGTTGGCGAATCGAACGATGACACCTCGGATGACACGCATTGTAGCACTGACATATCAGATATATATATATATATATATATAGAGAGAAGGGAAGTCGTTGCTGACAAGTTAGAGATGAAACTTAGTAGTGGGGAAGCAGCAAGTAAAAGTGAAACTCATGCAAGTTCGTCCAAGCTTTCGGAAAGTTATATTTCCATCATCAGGGCCAGACTACAAAATGTTATAACAATTATAAGCAAAGCTAGTTGACTAAGTGGTGCAGTACTTACAACTCATTGAGGTTGGTTACATTGATGTTACTAACAAGTGATGTATAAATATATATGCATGCATTCTGCATGATATATATATATATATATATATATATATATATCATGCAGAATGGTATGAAGGATGGTCTCAGTGAAAGAAATTTATTTCTTCAGGAAGCTAGCTACCATTCCTTGTAAGTCTTTCATATAAGTTGGTTAAGAATAGGAGAGGTCCGCCAA